ATTCTTTTGTATGATTGTTACTCATTTGTAATTCTTCTTTTGATGACTGTTTGTTCATATTTTTTGACCACTTAGCTATCAGAGGAAGACTTTTGGTCTTACATATCTGTTTATTGTTTTCGTATATTTTGGATACCCTTACCTGAGAAATTTGGTACAAATATTTTTCTCATTAGACCTCTACCCTTCTTGTCTTAGATGCATTCACTTTGTGCAGAAGCTTTTCAGTTTTGTGGAACAAAGTTATCTATTTTATCTTTGTTGTTGCCTCTATACTATCTTTGTTTAAGAATATAGTTTTCACCCATAGATATAAGAAGTCTATGATCAGTTTCTCTTCTAATTATTTTATGATATGATCTTTAATATTAAAGTCAAGTATCCATTTGGAATTTATTGTATCACAGGGCATAAAGTGTTGGTCTAAACCAAATTTCTTCCTGACTTTTTCCCAGTTTTCAGAAGTTTTTATAAAATGGGGAGTTCTTTTCTAAGTAATTTATCATTTCCAGTTTATTGAACAGTGGATTATTGAGTCCCCTCACTGATTCCCCTTTTTCTTATCTAATTTATTTTGATTTATGTTGACCTATTTTATTTTTCAATCAATACTAATTATTTTGATGAATATTATTTTATAACATTGAGGACTGGAAGAGCTATTCTATTTTATCTCTACCTTTTGTCATTATTTCCCTTGATATTTCAGATCTTTTGTTTCTTCAAATAAAATTTGTGATTATTTTATTGACATCTGTGAAGTATCCCTTTGGTAATTTGATTGATATTATAGGATTAAAATTATAATTTTACTTTGGTAGTATTGTCATTTTTATTATATTGGCACTGCTCAGCCATTTACACCATTTCCCCCCAGTTATTTAAATTGTTTTTTATTTCTTTAAAATAACACTTTGTAATTGAATCTGCACAAGTATTTTGTGAGCTTTGGTAGGTTGAAAAATTATTTTATGGGTTGTGTAGTTATTTAGGATAAGTTTTCCCTTTTTATTATTGCCTTTTGGATTTTGTTAACATAATATAGAAATGTTGTTGATTTTTGAGGGTCTATTTTGTAGCCTGTGATTTTGGTGAAGCTATTAATTCATCATATTTGCTAATTCCCTAGGATTTTCTAAATAAATCATCATGCCAACAGTATAGGATATTATTTCCTTTGTAATCTATATTTATGCCTTTAATGTCTTTCTCTATCACATTGCTACTGCTATCATTTTAGAACCATATCAAATAATAGCAGGCTGACTTGGCATCCTTGCTTTACTCCTATATGTACTGGGAAATTTCTAGTGAATTCTCATTGTATATGTTATTTGCTTTTCTTTTTAGATAGATACCTTTTAAGATATTAAAAACTGTTCTTCTATGCCTGTGCTTTGTATGATTTTTTTTCTCGTGAGTCAACAGCATAGGTGTACCTAGAGTGTGAGTTAGATATGCTCAGTTACATCGAGGAAGCATTTCGTGATACCACATTCTAATGATTAGGCCTAAGAGTGAATATCTGATCCATGAAGGCAAAGGGCAAGAAACAAAGAGAATGCTTCCCCAAGCTTTTCCAGCACACAGTTCATGCTCTATGGCATACCAAGACTTAAGAGTATGAGATGAGCCAAGAACGCTTATGCCATTTTTGTCTGCATTAATAGATGCATACTGTCCTCCGCAAAATCCTACTCTGTTGCTTCATCATGGCACAGAGGCGACTATCATGTTAGGGGAATGTAAGCTCTGAAAAGTTTTTACTATAATTGAAAGGAGTCTAGTATGGTCCTACCAATAGAACAAATCTCTCTCCTGAAGACCAGCTTTGATAAATTAGGAGAGGCTACTGGCAAAGAAAAGGGTCTAGGGAATTGACTTTATTTTGCTCTCAAAGGTAACAAGAAATATTATTTTGTGGGATATGTGGTCATTTCCTATCATGGCACTCAAGATAAGTTTTTGTCAAAAGACCTCCATGAAAGCAATTATAGTTTATGCACCAACTTCAGTTGCAGATAATGAAGAGGTAAAGGGATTCTAAATAAAACTCAAGAAACCCCTCCATATTTAATCAGTGTACATCCTGCTAATTTACTTCAGTGTGAAGGTGAGACTAAATAAGGATGTTGAGAAATAAGTTCAAAAGCATGGATCAGGAAAGAATGATAGAGACCAAATACTTACAGGCTCCACTGAAGCCTTGGACCATTACATTATGAATACTTTAAGAAAAGAATTGCTAAGTTCTTGAGAACCAAATTATATCCCAAAATGAAATAGATTATGTTTTAATAGACTAGAAAAAGACTTGTTATTGATGTGGGAGTCATCCTTGAATTAGCTATTTGTGTATAGTTAGACCACCAACTTCTTAGAATAAAAATGAATACAATAAAAGTTTAGAAAAAAGATGCACAGTCATAAAAACTATGTGACAGGCAGTTGAAATAACACAATCCTCAGTTATTTGAATAAGTAGTTGATAATGAAAATCGGAGACGGAGAGCAGAAGCAACACAGTTACAATAATTTTGTACGGTTTGATTGAGGTAAATCAATTGTCATATTAAGTATACTGGAAGTACCTAAAAAGCTTCTTAGTCAGCAAATATATGACATTTATCTAGCTAAAAGAGATTTCAGTCAGGGACAAAACTGGTTTAAAATATAAACTTGTTTATAAGACCTTTCAAAGAAGGATGGTGAATGATTATGAGCAGTGGCATCTCATAAAACCAAAGCAATGGAGAATGAAGCCTAGTTAAAGAAAACTAAGCAAACATTCAACTAAGCAAAATCATCCTGGACTGAAATTCAAGGAAGACAACAAACAGAAGGAAAATAAAGAACATCTATAAAGATTTTTTTTATAACAAATTTTTTTTTCCATTAAAGACAATGGTTACCTCATAATCAGGTTTTAACATCACAATCCTGGATGTGCTTTAGAAGAAAGATAGGAAAAGTGCTGTATAGAAACAATTGTGCATGGAAGAGACGGGTGCTAGCGATGACGCTTCATGAAGGTGTTGAGAGACCAATTCACCTGGTATCTGAAGCAGACCGATGAAGTCTGATGTAGGACCTGATCTGATCACTGTTCTCCTGGACTTTCCAGGCTCCAGATCCTGATCTGGCTCTAGACAACACAGTTGCAGCCTTGCCCCTGGGCAGAGCTCTAGTAGATAGCTGCTGGATTCAGCCCTTGTTAGCTAGCTTGAATAGTTCTGATCCTACTCAGTGGTCACAGCAATAGTGAGTGGCCTTCTTCTGGTCCCCAAGTTTGCTTTGCAGTCAGAACAACAATGTTATCTCTACTTCTGAGCTGAGGGATCCTGGTCCACCCTTGTTCCATAGTTCTTACCCTGGTCATTTGCCTGTAGGCTGAATCTGTGACCTTGGCCAGAAAAGTGACTCACCGTCCTGATCTGGTCTGGTGTTCTTATGATACCATTGCTAGATTAGTTGTGTCTGCTTGTCTGGTGGGGCAGGGTGTTAGCTGGGCCACTGCTTCTTCCTATTAGGTCATTACTGGTAGCTGCCGAGGAAGAATTCTTTAGGGGGAATCCCTCAATTTGCCTCAAAGTATGATTGGCTTATGACCTTTGGAGAGGGGCTTGTGTAAATATCAGTCTCCACTTCACTGCACAGCAGCTTTCACAGGTGGGTTTCCCTAGTGACTAGAGAAAAGAGAAGCTAGCCCAGGTGACCCTGTGTTCCAATGAGCTATTTCCCTCCTTTCGAGAAGCCTCTTTCTTACTTGGGTTAGAACATTCTAGCAGACAGGTTTCCTCTTTAGGACTTCAGGCCTACTGCATATTAGACTTTAAATAAGATATATTTAATGCAGCGGTAGAATGTAAGCTCCTTGAAATCAGGAACTCTGAGCGTGTGTGTGTGTGTGTCCTCGGCTCTATTCCACAACTCAATTCTGGCAGGACCTGGCGTCTTACCTTTCCTTGTCCCTCAGTCTCAGAGGGAAAAGTGTCTTTGCCAATATGTGGATACATTTTCTGATACTTTTGTATATAAATGGGCCACTTAAAGTTTGAAAGGGTTACATCTTTACATCTCTGTCATCCCTGTTCCCTGCTCCTTACAACTCACAATTTCATCTAGAAGATTCGGAGGACTTGATTGGGAGGTCACTAAAATATCTTCCCTCCCCACCCCATTATAATTCCACTGTATACCACTGGTGTGGGAGAAACAGCCATGCAGTTATCGTGGAAAATCTTGAACCCACAAAACCCCCAAATCATGTACATACACGGTATCCTATACAGCTGTCTTTTTCTGTGGTCTGTGTAAGGAAATGTTCATGTTTGTTGAGGGTTGTCAAATTAATGTTAATAAAAAAGAAACTTTAAGAAGGAGAGATTATTGGTAACTTTGGAGATAGCAGCTTCAGCGGAGGAATGAGGTGGCAGGTTGTAGCACCCAGAAGAGGGAGGGGAGAGGAGAGAAAGCAAGGGAGACAAGCGCTGTCAGTTTTTTCAAGGAATTTGGCTGAGAGATCTTTCAGAGCTAGTGGAGAATGGTAGGACTCCTGTAGTACAACTCCCCCATTTTACAGATGAAGAAACCAAGCACGAGGGAGGTTAAGTGACTTGCCCTATGTCCAACAGGCAGTATCACAGGTGGACTTGAACCCAAGTTCTTTGAGGCCAGGACCAGTCCACTCTACCACTATCCAAGGTATCTTGGTGTAAACCTCCTGATGTCCAGACCTCTCAATGTCTGTCCCTCGTTGTCTCATTCATTTACTGTGTCCACGTCCCTCGGTGTCTGGATCCCGGGTCTAGTCCACTCGGTGGCTGGCCACATCCCAGCCTCCAGGGCTCCTGGGGCTGCTCCTGCGCAGCTGGCGTGTGGACGCCAGGGGGCGCTGCCGGGGGAGGCCTGGTGGCCGGCGGCGCGGGACCGCCTCTCTCTCCGGCTCACGCGCACGCTCCTCGCCTCCTCTTCTTCCTCCAGCCTGGGTTCCCGCTGCGGCCGCTCGCCATGGACCGAAACCCGTCGCCTCCGTGGAGGGGCCAGGAGGCTGAGGCCGAGTCCGCGGCCGCGAGGGGAGACTCCATCGGGACCACGATTTACAGCAAGCACTGGCTCTTCGGCGTCCTCGGCAGCCTCATCCAGGTACGCCCGCGGCTCCCCGGCAGAGAAACCCGGCTTGGACCCGGACCAACCCCCTCAACGTCTCCTCCCCCCAAACTGTCACTACCCCTCCCCCGAAACCGTCACTACCCCTCCCCCCATCCACGCCCTCCTCTCTCCCCCTCCCCTGACCCATCACAGCCCCCAGACCCCGCCACACCCCCATCTGGAACCCTCCTCCTCCCCCTCCCCAACAGTTCGGGGACCACCCTTCTCCCCACTTAGATCCAAACTCTCTCCTCCCCTGACCCATCACAGCCCACAGGATCTGGACCCACGCCTCCTTTTCACCCTCCATCGCATCCCCAGACCCCGTCCAACCCACCTTCATCCCAGCCCTCCAGGACCCAGGCCCCTATAGAGCTCCCCTAACCCCCACTACCCTCTCCATCCTGTCCCATCCCCCCACCCCCCCATTCCCATTCCCTTCCTCTCCACCATCATTCTTCTCCCCCCCCACCACCTTCTCTCTACCCACCATAGGGACTCACCCCCAACGGCCAGTAGTACCTTCAAGGCCATGCCCCCGGCCCACCCCCTCTGCTGCTCCCGGGATCTCAGCTCTCTCCCCACCTCGAATATCCTTCCCTGTCTCATCCCCGTCAAATCCACTCTGTTTCCCCATTCCCAGGCCCCATCCCCCATTCCCATCCTCTCACATCACCTCCCCTCTGCATCACAGCCCTCTTGATCTGTTCCCTTTCCCTTAGCACAGCTTCCTGGACCCAGATCTTACCTGGACCCTCCTCCTCTCATCACAGTCCTTCTGGACCTGGACCCCCTGCCTTCCAGTCACTGCTCTACTCGACCAGAATTAACTCCTTTCTATCCCACCAGACATGCTCTCTACTTCCAATCACATCCTACCTGTCTGGTCTCAGGAGCCACAGACCCCTTCTACTTCCTTCAACACAAATGCACAGTCAGACTACCCAGGGAAGTTGACCCTGATTATCTCGGCTTCCATGCCATACCTGGAACCCTCTCAGACCAGAAACTCTACCCCCTCTTTTCTTCCCCATAACAGTCATAGCCCACCCACACTCAATTAGACTCTGGACACTTCCTTTAACTCGGGCTACGTTCTCACCTCCGGGGCCCATTTCTTTCTACTCTTTGTTTTATTTCCTCAACCCCAGAACCCCATCACTGGACACCGTGATCCACCCTTCCTTCTTCCAAGTCCATCTCTCCCGTATGTCTCCTCCAACTTCTGCTCCAAGTGTTGTGGCAAAGGGCTCACCTATTCCTCGCACACAGCCCTGTATCTGCCATAGATCTTTGACTCTACCCAAACACCACTAGGACTAAAGACTTTTCCAGATATACTTCCCAAGACCCCTATTCCCTTCAGGTGACTCTGGGTGCATTCCTCTAAACAATGCCAGGCCTTACAGCCACTTCCTCAGCCATCCTTCAGGATCACTCTCCTATTATCTTACTCCCCTCAGGCCCACAGGCTGCCTTAGATATTCCTGGTCTCACCCTGTCCTCTACCCTGTCCATCCCATGTACTGCTAACCCATTCCAATCTCTGCGTCTTCACTAGTTGCACACCCCATGTCCAATCAAAGAAAACTCTTCTCCTTCCGCTACCTTTTCTCTCATGATTACTTATGAATGTTGGAAAATATGAAATGGGGAGTGCTGTTTACCTATTCCTTTTCTTTCTTTACCTTTTTGAAGCTTATTAACCCTGAGAAAACCACGTCTAGAGAAAATGAGGAGGAGGAACAGCACACAGAAGTGGATGAAGAAATGGAGAATGAGCTTTGTAGGGTCTGGGACATGTCGGTGGTTGAGGTATGCTTGTGGGGCACTGTCAGGAAGGAAGCTCTTCCTGAAAACTGCTGGTGAACAGACGTTCCCATGTGTTGTTTCTCACCTTTGGAGACCAGCTTGTTGTATTATCCCTGCTGCTACTGTAAGGAGTGCTGGGGACTGGCTACTGCTAAGTCCACATCATATATTTTCTCTCTGGAGGTGAAGGAGAATGTTGCTATCACTGATTATTGGCTAGATTTATGCTGGTATCTCCTGAAGGTCATTTGCTGAGAACTCATCCATTTGTGGACAGTGACACTCGTATAGGTATAACCCATGACCAGTTTGGTTTGGTTGTTCTCAATGTTTTTTGTACCCAGGCGTCAGAGGGTTAGTAGTTGGGACAGTGCTGGTGTGTGAAGGGTGGAAGAGAAGGAAAGAAGAAGAAGGAAGTATCTCTCTGTATCTCCTTTGAAATGTGAAGATTGCTGTGAATTCATGAGCAAGTTAGATAATTTGCTTCTCTGCCAAAGTAGAAGTAGAAATGAGAAGACTGTACTCTCTCTCTCTCTCTCTCTCTCTCTCTCTCTCTCTCTCCCTATATATATATATATATATATACATATATATATATATATATATATACATTTTTTTTTTTTGGTTAGGCTTTGGGGTTAAATGACTTGCCCAGAGTCACACAGCTAGTAAGTGTCAAGTATCTGAGGCCCTATTTGAACTAAGGTCCTCCTGACTCCAGGACCGGTGCTCTATCCACTGTGCCACCTAGCTGCCCTGATGTACTATATTTTTTAAATGCATGGAGAACATTTGTATTCTGGTAGTATTTTTAGTTAATAGGTGAGAACATGCTTTTTGTTGAGAGTTTCTAAAACTTATTTCCAAAGCTTTGTGAAAATCTGATTGTAATAATGCTTTAATGAAGTTCCCTTTGGATGGCACAGATACAGTGGAGGTAGAAACATTCTGTACCAAAAAAGGAAAAAAAAAATCACCAGTGCAATGGGTTCTGTTTTACAGCGTAGTTTCATTGCCTTGGGAACAATATTACAAAGACTCTGCAGTGTTATTTTTATATCTTACCACTATTTCTAACTTCACTCTTTGTATTTTATCCATAACCTCTAAGACATAAGCTACATATTTAAAAGATGTTAGTTAAAGTGAGGTCTTAAGAGGTCTAGAGAAAGATCTTGGCTCATTAAATATTTTGCCTTTTTAGGATGTAGCTTTATTTCTCTTTGAATTTAATGCCCCAGACATATTTATGGGAGTTTTGGCCAAGACCAAGTGTCCTCGACTAATGGTAAGTGTATAAATATAAGCGGGTCTTTAAAACAGTAATTGATGCCTTTTGTCCTTTGCCTGGAAACAGTGATAGCAGGTACTTCACCTCTCTGCAGTGTTTGGCACTCTTGACCATCCCCATCCCCCTTGAAATTCTCCACTTTCTTCTCATTGTTAGGTTTCCCTTTGAGCCTAAATCTTCCCTAAATCTTCCCCTGCAATATCTGCTGTTCCTAGTTCTGCCCCTCAGGGTCAAGCAGAACTTCTTCTGCCTCATACAACTTCAAATATTTGATGAGAACCATTACTCTCCAGACTAAATAGCTCTAGTTCCTTCACCTGAGCTTCATATGGCATGATATCCAGGCATTTTCATTATCTTGGTTGTCTTTTTTGTAATGTTCTCCAGATTATTAATTGTAATAACCAGAACTAAACACAATAGTCTGTTCATCGTCTAACTAGGGCAGAATCCAGTGGGATGATTGTTTCCTTCATTCTGAGCACTATGCTTCTCATAAGGCAACCTAAGATTGTATTGACTTTTGTAACTACCATGTCACACTATAGGCTCATATTGAGTTTGAAGTCTGCTGCAAATGTCCAGATCTTTTTCACAGGAAGTGCTTTATACTTGACTTGTATACTTTGTATGACAAGTGTACTTCATACTTGAATTCCTCATATGGTACTCGTGCAGGTAATTTTTGATTGCAAATGCAAGACTTAATAGTATTTGCCCTATTAAATGCTGTTAGGGCTGTATCCTAGTATCCCAGTCTGTTGAGATCTTTTAGGATCTTGACTTTGTCATCCAATGTTTTTCCTTCCAGTTCTGCGCCATTTTCAAATTTGATAAGCATGCTAATTGTGCCTTTAAGTCATTGTTAAGAATATTTAATAGGAGAGCACCATGGACAGATCCCTGAATACTACTACTAGAGACTTTCTCCTAGGCTGACCTTGAGCCATTAATGAAATCTTGCTTGGTTCTTATTCTTAACAAATTTGAATCAGTTTTCTATATCTTAGAAATGAGCCATTTATCAGAGAAACTTGCTGTAAACATTTTCCCCCTTTTATCTGCTTCTCTTTTAATTTCATCTGAATTCATTTTGTTTATGCATATACTTCTTAATTTTATGTAATCAAATTTGCCCATTTTACCTCCTATTTTACTTCTCTATCTCTTGTTTGGTTAGGAACTTTTCCCCTTTCCATAGATCTGATTGGAAATTTTTTCTTTATTCCTCTAATTTTTTATATGATGTTACCATTTATATCTGAATCATGTACCTATTTGGAGCTGATCTTGGTATAACATGTGAGATGTTGGTAGTTATTTAGGGTGTGTCAAACTGTTTTCCAGTCTTCTCAACATTTTTTGTTGAATAATGAGTCCTTGCCCCAGTAGCTGGGATCTTTGGGTTCATCTTTTGGCTTCTGTGCTCATTTGCCTACAGACCTCGTGTACCTAATTTGTCCCACTGATAGTCTCTCTATTTCTTACCCATTACCAAATTGTTTTGATGATTATTGCTTTGTAGTGCACTATGAGATATAGTACTTCTGAACCCCTTTCCTTCCCACTTTTTTTCATTAATTCCCTTGATATTCTTAACCTTTTTTCCTCCAGATGAGTTTTATTTTTTCTAGTTCAGTTAGGTATACTAATATTTTTATTCTGCATTTTTGTACTTGGTTAAATAATAATTTTTATTAATCTACCACGATTTATTGAGTTTGTTTTTTTGCCTTAACTATTCTGCCAACTCCTTGAGGTCAGAATCCTTGTCATCTATGTTTTTCCATGTCTCTCCATAATTTTTAACTGTACAAGGGCACATGGCAGGACCTAGATAAATAACCAATCTGCTCTCGTTATAGGGAATACTTTCCCCATCAATTCTGCCTTGTAGGAAATCCATGTATATAATCTATAATATCACTCACACAAAAGCAGCAATATGATATGGTTGAGAAGAGTGGTGCTGGTAAAAAATAATTAAAATACCTATTTTGGAGCATAAAAAGCACAGTCATTATTTTTTCTTACAGTAATTTTGTACAATTTTTTTTAATGTTTAATCATTTTAAAAAAATTTTGTATTTACTTTGATTCCATTCTGATACCATGCTTGGTTTGGCAGGAAATTTGCGTGGGAATTTTGGGAAATATGGCCTGTTTCCAGGAGATATGTGTGTCTATCAGTAATGATAAGAATATTGGGTAAGTTTCATTACATAATAATTATTTGGTTTTCATAAGCTTTGTTTTTATTTGATTTATATTTAGCAAAACCTACTAGAGCAGCTTTTCTAAGAAAAGCTAATGCATGGGATTAAGAGTAAAAAGCTGTGAATTATAGTGGCTCCCTTTTTCCATAGTAACTGGTGTTCAATCGCTGCACTAAATTTTTCTTTTTTAATATTTTTTATTTTTGTCAGTTACATGTAAAAACAATTTTTAACGTTCTTTGTAGAGATTTTGGGTTCCAAATTCTCTCCCTTCCTCCCTTGCTCCTTCTCTTCTCTTCCCCTCCCCCCAACTGAGAAGGCAAAGAATTTGGTATAGGTTGTACATGTGTAGTCATGCAAAACATATTTCCATATTAGTCATGTTATAAAAGAAAACATACAAAATAACACAAGAAAAAGAAAGAAAGTAAAAAGTAGTATGCTTCATTCTGCATTCAGGGTCCATCAGTTCTTTCTCTGGAGATGGATAGCATTTTTCATCATAAGTCCTTTGGAATTGTCTAAAGATCATTATATTGCTGAGAATACCTAAGTCATTCACAGTTGATCATCATACGATATTGCTGTTAGTGTGTACAGTGTTCTCTTGGTTCTGCTCACTTCACTTTGCCTCAGTTCATGTAAGTCTTCCCAGGTTTTTCTTAAAGCATCCTGCTTATCATTTCTTATAGCACAATAGTATTCCATCACAATCATATGCCACAACTTGTTCAGCCATTCCTTAATTGAGAAGCATCCCCTAAATTTCCAATTCTTTGCTACCACAGAAAGGGTTGCTATAAATATTTTTGTACATATAGGTCCTTTTCCTTTTCCTTTTTTTTTTTTTAATCTCTCTGGAATGCAAACCTAGTAGGGGTATTGCTGGGAGCAGTAGTGCAGTTTTGAAAAGTTGATACCTCCTGCTTCCTTTCAGTGGAATGGGGGCCTGGGTAGTCCATGGAGGAGTCAGCTATGAAAGGCAGTGGTCAAGTACTGGATCTAGGCTCAGATCAGTGTAGGGAAAGCTGATTAGAGAAGGCTGAGGTCCAGGGTAATCCTTGGGGTTCTGGGAGTCATATAGACTCTCAGGATTCAAAGGGCCCTCAGAAGTTCTAGGTCATAGATGCTATTGGATTGAGAGCTAGAAGGGACCTTTGTAGTCCTTTAGCTTAGCCCACTCATTTTACTGATGAGGAATCCGAGGCCTTTGAGGTAAAGTGATTTACTCAGGGTCCCATAGGTAGTAAATGGCGGAGTTGATGAGGTTTCAGGGTACAGGGGCCCCAAAATACTGAGGTACAGGGTGGAGTTGTCTAGAAAGAATTCATGGACTCAAGCAGTCTTCCAGTCAGATGGCAAAAAATTTATTGTAGGGGCAGCTAGGTGGTGTAGTGGATAGAGCTCTGGTCTTGGAGTCAGGAGGACCTGAGTTCAAATCTGGCCTCAGACACTTGACACTTACTAGCTGTGTGACCCTGGGCAAGTCACTCAACTCTGATTGCCACACCAAAAAGCAAAAAAAAAAAAGTTTCTTGTAATGCTAATATGGTGGGCAGAGCTCCCTAGAGAACTTGAAACCCAACAGGATGCTAAAGCTTATATAGGAAAAGTAGTGGATTGTGTCCTAAGTATGCTAATTAGGTGATAACATACAGCCTTAGTCCCAGGCATCATTCATTACTAGAAACCAGAGTGGGGCAGGGAAGGGAGTTCCTAAGGGGCGTATTTTTAGTCTGTTATGTCTATGACAAGATAGCTTTGGGAGTTGATGTCTTTACCTTGACCTCTGGATCATATATGATAACTGTGGGAATCAGTACATGATAGTTTTGTTGCTACAAGGTAGTACAAGGGAAATTCTACAGAGGCCAGCTTGTTCTTGTAACAGAGAGAGACAGCGAAATAGTTTATCTCACTGGGCCCACTCATGAGCTATTGCCAGAGATAGGGTCTTTGAGCTGGGGAGAAAACTGTCAGGGATAGTGTTTTGAGGCTAGGGAGAAATATGATCTTGGAGTTGGGGTCCAAGTACAAGCACCCCATCAGAGTCGGATTCAAACCCAGGTCCTTTTAACTCCAATTCCAACTCTTTCCATTGTACCACACTACTGGGCTGATCTAACCCTGACCTAAACAGGAATCTATAATATCCCTGACAAGAAATTACTCAGCTTCCACATAAAAGTCTCTAGGATCAGGAAACCCACAATCTTTTTTTTTTTTTTATTTTTGGCTAGGCAGTCAGGTTTAAGTGACTTGCCCAGGGTCACACAGCTAGTAAGTATCAAGTGTCTGAGGCCAGATTTGAACTCAAGTCCTCTGGTCCTGGAGAGCTGATTCCAGGGCCAGTGCTCTATCCACTGCACCACCTCCCTGCTCCCAAACCCACTGTCTTCTGAGGTGGATCTTTATACTTTTGGATAGCTTGGTGATTAGACAGCTTCTCCTTATTTTTGAGCCAAAATTGGCATCTCTTGCAGCACCTTTTGAAGCTAAGCAAAACAAGTCTAATAAGACTTCTATATATATGAAGGGCTTTAGGCTCCTAGTCAAGCAAGTTTGTATCCTAGGATTGGGGTCTTCTTGGTCTTTTATGTAGCTAGTTTGAAGGTTTCAAGATCTTTTCTTCTTCTTAGAGTTACCTGGTATAGTCCCTTATAATTATCCTCTTTTTCCGAATTCTTAGAATATAAGATATTGATAGGTTTGTAATTTCAGAAACAGACCTTTCACTGGGTTATTTTTGTTAAACAAAAAATGCCCGTCATTTGTTCAAGCATTTATTAAGTACCTACTATATGCCATGTGCTCTGCTAGTTGGAGATACAAAGAAATGCCAAAACAGCCCCTGCTCTTGAGCAATTCCCAGTTGAAAGCTAGAAAACATGCAAACTAGTATATACAAAGAAGATACATACAGGATAAATAGGAGATAATCAACAGAGGAAAGGCACTAATATTAAGGGGGATTAGGAAATGAAAATGAAACATTTTACTCAACTGATGTTTTAATGAGAAGAAAGTATATAAGAATGTGTGAATTGATTTCTCTTGCCTTGTAGACAGACATTGTTGCACTGCTTGTATGATTTGGATCCTCCTACTCTGCTGGAAATAAGCAGGTGTGTCATTTTCTTTGTACCCAGTCCAATTATTTCATCTGCAATGTAGAGGTTCATTTTTCATGAGAAAACTTGAATTGCATTCACTCTATTTTAATTAGATATTGTGTTCATGTTTCTCGTATAGGTTATTGCTAACATGCCTTTCCCAGCCACAAGTTGCTGATATTTGGGTTCAAAGGATACGGGAAAATCCAGCTGTCTATGACAGCATTTGTTTCATCATGTCAAGCTCAACCAATGGTAGGGTTTTTAGGGCATCTTTAATGGTTAAGGAATTATTCCTGAAGCTCAGAGAAAAATATGCCTTGATCACAAGAAGAAGTTAAAAAAAATCACTCAGCTCAAGGTAGCAGTAGACATTAGACTGATGATTTCATTAGGATAGAGGACTTGCAGATGAGGAACCTCACTTCACTAGTGGGCGGAGTGGGATCTTCTCTGCAACTTACAGAGTTGGACCAGAGCAGTGGTGTTAAATTCAAGCAAAAAGGGAGCCACCAAATCGTACAGAGGGATCCCAGCAAGCTGCAGATGGACTTAGAAAACCACGTGTTAACATGTCTATGTTATATATATTTTTATTTATTTTGTTAAATATTTTCCAATTACATTTTGATCTGGTTCCTGGCACTGGGAAGTGGACCTCGTGTTTGATACCTCTGGCTTAGAGCATTAGGGTTATGTGACTTGGCTAGGATCACACAGCCAGCATGTGTCAGAGGCGGGACTTGAATTGAGAGCTCCCTGGCTCTGAGATGAGCTCTCTGGCCCTCTCCGTGTTGCTCGTAAGGTTCCTTAAAGGTAAATTATTCTCTTTGTGCCCCAGGACAGTGATAAAGTCCCCTTTAAGAAAGAAATAAACATGGGAGGGAAAAAGTCCCTCAGAATATTGGTACCCGTGTAGGAGTTTGACTTTTGTGTGGTGATTTGCCTTAGGAATTTTCATTAACTTGGCTAATTTCAAGATTTTCTCTTCAGTTTCATGGGTATTTTCTTCTTTGCAGTTGACTTGCTGGTGAAAGTGGGTGAAGTGGTTGACAAGCTCTTTGACTTAGATGAGAAGCTAATGGTGGAGTGGATTAAAAATGGCACTGCTCAGGGCCCGCACCAGTCCTCTGGGGATTCTGAAGAGCAAGCACCACTAAAGATTGTCCCCTGTGTACTTGAAGCTGCTAAACAGATCCGGTAGGATTATACAGAGTAGCGTAACCCTGGTCTTCCCCGGGAACCTTCTTTACCTGAGGGATTTGGGAGGCCTTGGACCAGTACATGGCCACATAGCTCCTACGGGGCCCACAGAAGAATCTCTGTAGGCCCCTGTGTCCATTTAGGGTGGCATGGGCTCTGCATCCCCCTCCCACAGGGCAGGGTTGTAGTGTAGTGCCATAGTGTGCTGCCTCCACCACTGCGCATCCTCACCTATTGTGGAGGGTCCTGGCCTTTTTTCTCTGTGGATGAGGCCTCAGTTGATTGAACCACTGTCTTCTAAGTGATCTAGGCTTCAAGTTTTCCTTCCCTCTCACCTCCCACATTACCTAGTTGTATTGATTCTATTTATACAATATAGCTCACTTCCATCTCCTCCACTTACCTGAATACCACCACAGTTCTAGGCCCTCATCTCTTGTCATCTGAACCATTATGATAACCTTCTTACTCATCTTCCTTCAGTTCTTTCTGTCTCCAATCCACTTTTCACATAGCAGCCAAAATAACCTTCCTAATACATAGATCTTATTATTACGTGACTCTCCTGCTAAAAACCTTTGTCGTTCTTTAACACCCATTGGACAAAGTATACATTTCTTAACTCTTTCTGCCCTAACACTATTACCGTTCATTCATTCTAGCCATAGGGACCATTAGCTGTCCCCAAAGTCATTCTGTCTCTATTTATTAGCGCAGGCCATCCCTGTGCCTGGAACATATTCTCCACTCCTTTCTTCCTATTGAAAGTATTGTCTTCCATCAAGGCTCAGCTGACATGCTGCCTCTAACAGGAAATCTCCCTGATCTACCTAGCTAAAAGTAATAATAATAAAAATAAAAATGATCTCTCCTTTCTTAAATTTTCTTGACATACTTTCTTGACCTCACTTACCTCCTTCCATCATATTTCATGTTGTACTTTCCTTGAATGTAAGCTTCTTCAGGGCAGGGGCTGGCTCATTTTCTGCCTTTGTGTTTCTAATACCTAACACAATGCTCTGCATGTAAAAAGTAGTTAGTAAAGGTTGGCTGAGTTGTTGGAAGATCACCTTAGTCTCTCTAAAAAGATCTTTTTCCTTAGTGGATGGAGATCTAAGAGGAGACTGAGTTGGTTGGAATCCAGACATTGCTGATGCTGATGGGGCTTCCTTTTTAGCTTTTACCATTGAGGAGAGGAGGCAACCAAGATGAAACAAACACCGTTACTGCTGTGCCTTGCTGGCAGGCTCTAGAAATCCGTCTTTGAAGGGTGGCGGGACAAAATTCTGTTGGTTCAAGGAAAGTTTCTTTGTGAGTTTTCCTGCAGGAGGGTTTGGTTCTGGGCTTGGAAATATTTTGTTTCCTAGGTTCTGCCTGTTGGGTAATTATCTTTCTTTCTGCCTGGAAGTCATTGAGTCAGTGTTTTTGTCATTTGCCTACAGTTTTGATAACCCAGTAGGACTGGAAGTTTATATGCACATCTTACAACTACTTACTACTGTGGATGATGGAATTCAAGCAATTGGTAAGCGATTTTATGAAGTATGAGAATGATGATAGCTCATTTTAGTCATTTAATTATTTTCCCTTTCTGAATCAGTGCTTTCTTTATCAAGTTCAGCCTCCTGATGCTGGAAGAGATACTTGGAATTTCCTTTTTGATCTGGCCTGCCACGACTTCTGTCAGCCTGATGATCCACCAATCATACTTCAGGAACAGAAAACAGTGCTGGCTTCTATCTTCTCAGTATTATCTGCTGTGTATGCGTCACAGACTGAACAGCAGTATGTAAAGATGGAAAAAAGCAAGTATCATTTCTACCAGTTGTGAATAATGATGACTCCCTTTTTAACCCTGGTAATTTTCAAAATAGTTTACCTATACACATCCCATGTGTAACCCTTGGAACTGATCAAACTGGGAATAACCTTAGTAGAAATGATAGAGATAGGATTGCATCTACTATGACAAAAATTTGCACAAAGTAAGGATAGGCAGAATTTAATTTTAGCAAATACCATTATGTTTTCTTATTCTGTATAACAAATTTTAGCAAGTAGTTTACATTAACCCGTGTTTTTATTGATCTTGTTACCAAATATTCTGTTACTTGGAAAATCCTGTATGGTGGTCATCCTGCCAGTGTAGAAGTCAGTTTACAGAACGAATACCACATCATTCCTCCACCCCCACCCACCCATTCAGTAAATTCCAGTGACGCCTCTAGGATCAAATATAAAAATCCTCTGACATTCAGAGCTCTTTATAACCAGCCCCCTCCTACGTTTCCCATCTTTTTTACACCTCACTCCCTGACATTAACTCTGTATTCCTGTGCCATTGACCTCCTTGCTGTTCTTCTCTCCAGACTGTCCGTCTCTTAATTCCATCCATTTTTCCTGGCTGTCCTCCATCCACAGAATGCTGTCCCTCTTCTCTGCTTCCTGCCTTCCCTGACTTTCTTCAGGTTTCAGCTACAATCCTGTCTTCTACAAGAAGCCTGTCCTGATCTTCCTTAACGTTATTGCCTTCCCTCTTAGATTATTCCCATTTCATTCTTTTTCTTGTTTGTACGTAGTTGTTTGCATGTTGTATCTCTCATTGGACCACTTGAGAGGAGGGGTTGTTTTTTTGCCTTTTTTTGCATTTGCACTGCTTAGCGCAATGCCTGGCACATGGTAGGTACTTAATAAATGCTTATTGACTGACAACCCTTGCAATAGGAGTTGTTATCCCCGTTTTACAGATGAGGGGACTGAGGCTGAGAGAGGTTAAGTGATTTTCTTGGCCAGCAACTATCCAAGGCAGGATTGAACTCAGGTTGAACATGGTTAAATCTATGGCTAAGTAATATTACTTTGGTATTTGTGGCCCAGCCTCCTGTGGCAGTTTTCTAGGAGAGAGGCGATCAGGGCCTGAACCATGGAGGCAGCTGAAGGGGTGACATACTGGAAATATTGTGGAAGTAGAAACAGCAAGTTTGGGCAACTGATTGGTTATGTGGGTTGAGGGTAAGTGAAGTGTTGAAGATCATACCTCTGACAGAAATAGGGAAGTTTGGAAGTGGGGAAGGCATGGGGGAGAGTTGATAGTGTTAAGAACTCCACAGAGGTAAGGTATAATAAGGACTGAGAAAAGACCATGAGATCTAGCAGGTAAGAAATCACTGGTGATCTGGAGGAGGACAGTTTCTGTTAAGTGTGAAGGTCAGCAGCCAGATTGCAAGGAGTCGAGGAGTGGGAGGGGAGGACGTAGAAGTGGTGCATATAGGTGACCGTCTGTAAGAATTTAATAGTGAAAGGAGCTTGAGGAGATGGTAGGATCAGGGCATTTTTTAAGGATGGAAGAGACTGGTCATGCATGGAGGAGTTGGGGAAGGAGCCAGCAGATAAAGAGAAATGAATGATGATAGAAAGAGGGGTCGGTCAGGAAGGAGGCAGGCTGTTGGAGTGGATGGGATCAGGAGTACAAGCGGAGAGGAGATTGGCCTTGTCCAGAAGGGCCAACTGTTCTTCAGAGACCGAAGTAAAGGAGAGGATAGGACATGATGAAGAGGGGATTTGATGTATAGAGTAGGGGAAAAGAGAAAGTGCTCAGTGAATGACCTTTTTTGTCAGTATAGTTGGAGGCTGAGAGGAAGAGGGAGGAATTTTGGAATAGCTGCAGTGGAGATTTGTATAGAGAATCAATAGGAGAGGAATAAAAAGATTGTCGTGCAGCAGTGAGGGTCCACTAGAGATTAGATAATAACTTGGTAATGATTCCATTTGACAGTCCATTTGACAGTTGTGTGACTCTTTGTAATGGTGTTCAGCAGCATGTGAATAGGCGTGGAGAAGGTAGATGGTGGAGACAAGGGGGGCAAGGAATCTGAGGGAATAGGATAGTGTGTAGTTGAACTGGTCGACCCTAAGGTCAAGGCCGTGAAGGGAGGAAAGCAAAGCCAGAGCCACGGGAATGGATTGAGGGAAGAGGGTGGGGGGATGGACATGATTAAGATGAAGAATAGGTTTCGGAGGAGAGAGGCAGTGGGAGAGATTGGATGGGTTAGAAGCTTGTGACTTGACAGTAATTTTAGAGTTCTGGATCATAGAGATAAAATAGTTATGGGTAATGCTGAAAACAATTGTATGACTGATCAGTCAGTCAACTGGTATTTATTAACTGTGCTAAGCACTGGGAAAAATGGCAACAGACAGCCTACAGACAACTATGTACAAATACTTCATCCTCAGGGTTCCTGAAGTAGACGTATTACCAATGAAGAATTGTTCAGGACAAGTAGTGAAAAAGACGTCATCAGAGAGATATACGACTGGGAGGGAGGTGGGCCAGTTCTATAACGAAAGTGAAGGATCGCTGATGAGCAGCTCATATGCTCAGGAGGTAGTCTACCAATTTCAAGAGCTTTAGAGGAAAGGGTGCCTGCATGTTGACTGGACCCTTGCAGAGGATTTACAGAAGGAGACGGGCTAGCAGCACAGAGGATGAGATGACTTGTATAGGTTGCATTCATTACCTTTGGGAGAAGATCCCACATCAGTGACATCCTACACATCTGTTAACATTGAAAAATGTTAGGTGCCTACTAGCTTGAATTAATGTGGAAAGACTGGACAGTGCAGGACAAGATCAGGAATATCCATTGGCTAGGATGTAGAATTCATGAAGGAGAGGCTTTTGACTTTTTCGTATTTTGAATGTAAACTCTTACTTTTCTTTTGTCATATTTATAGTCTTAATTTAGAGCTGACATTTGTAGAACACAGTAGATGTGTTTGATTTGATCAGATCCCTTAAAAATCTTATTATTTTTATGATCGCAGAAATACTCAATACCTTTCTGACTTTGTATTTCTTCATTTATTGGTTGTACAATAGATCTGCCTCTGATTGGCGGCTTGATTTGGGTCTTGCACAACATGGAGGACTGTGAGAAAAGATCAGTGAACTTAGCAGAAGAAACTGCAAAGTCTGGTGTAACTGAGGAGGATTTCCACTTGAAAGTTTTGAAGGATGTCTCTTGCGAATTACTTTCTAATATTTTTCAGGCATTGACAAAGGTACTGAAAAATCCTTTTATATGGACCGTTCAGGTAAGGAAGGGCTAGGCCTAGTTCCTGGGAGGATTGCTACCCTAAGCTTTATAGAGGGTGGGGAGGAGAAGTGAGGGGGAAGACGTTCGGAGCGTGGTGTGACTGCCTAGGTAATGCTTCTGGTGAATGAGTTGGGGTGTTTAGTGCACATGTTTTAGGAGCTGGCAGTAGTACAGGGAAGTTGTCTGAAGGATGTCTTTATCTTTATCTGAAAATAGTGAACTTAGGTTCCAGTGAGAAGCAGTGGGGTAGGGTGGCTACAGGGCCACCCTGAGCCCTTGAAGGAAGGCTGGATTCTATGAGCCTTGCATCTGACACCTATTAGTCACATGACCATAGGCACCAATCATTGAACCTCTGCCCCAGGCACCGAGAGTTCTGGCTTCCATTTATAAGGGGAGTTTTCACATCTGGGATTTCCTTCTATCTGTGAAATCACAGATCAACTGCCCCCCCTCCAAAAATATTCCAGTGGTGGGTTTAGGTTTATTTATCATAGAATATTAGTGATTGAGTTTCCTACCCTATCCCTTCTGTGATGCAAATTTCAATGAATTTGGGGTGCTCACTACCTAACAACATAGCCCATTCTAAACTTGAACAACTAAAGCTTCATTAGACAGTTAATCTGTATTGTGCTAAAATCTGCCTCCTGGAAACTTCCATCCTTTGGTTCTTGTTCTGCCCCTTGAAACTACATGGACTAAATTAGATCCCTCTTCCATGTGTTAGTTCTACAAATATTTGAAAACATCCATTCTGCCCCCTTTGTCTTCTCTTTTTCAGAGAAGATCCTTTCAAAGTTGTCATTAAGCATGATTTCCCGACTCTTTTATGATCCTGGTCACCTTCTTCTGGATGTGCTTTTCTTTAATTGATTACTAGTTTGTTTTTCTTTTTTCTTTTTTTAATTTTTAGGCAATTGGGGTTAAGTGACTTGCCCAGGGTCACACAGCTAGTAAGTGTCAAGTGTTTGGTCTGAGGCTGGATTTGAGCTCAGGTCCTTCTGACTTCAGGGCCAGTGCTCTATCCACTGTGCCACGTAGCTGCCCCAATAGTTTGTTTTTCTAAAATCTAAGGTGATAATCGTAATAAATGTTTTCTTCTTAGCACCCCAGTGAGGTGGGTTGTGCCAGTCTTCTTTCCATTTTACAGATGATGAACGTTGAGACTCAGAATGGACTGGCCCACAGGCACCTGGCTAGTTGCCAAGACTCAAAGGAGGGCTTCTGCCCTGCACCACAGTCTAGCCCTCTTTCTGTCACCTCACACTAGTTCTCTCAGGGAGGTGTGGCTTCACAGATCTTCCTTCTGTGAAGCTTAAGAACACAGGGCCACCTTCTCCCAGGGTTACTGCTAAGTCTACTTTACTAATCAGTTTTTCCTCATTTGTCAGAATTGAGTTTACCTTATCAGTTTCCCTCCATGTTTCCTTTACCTTCTGAGAGCCAAAGCTGTCAGCAAGGCAATTTATTAATTTCTGGGTTGCTTTGTTTTTAGCAGAATGAGAGTTCTAGTAGATGTCTGAATAGCTGAAGTCCCCTTTCTTTACAGTATCTTTCCTGTATGTCGGTTTTGTGTTTTCCATTAGGAAAGCAGAATCTATAACCTCTGTCTGATTAGCATCTATAACATATTTTTACAGGATCACTTCTGTTTCTCTTTTTATCTTCACCAAATGTTCCCCCACCATATTAATACTCCTTTTGCATATGCATACAAGCTTTTTTGATATGTTCCCCTCACCTCAATCTTGAATCCTTCCCATCAAGTGACATCTTTAGAACTGTATTTATTTCCTTATTCTAACATTTCATGTTCATTTTGTTCATTACTTACACTGTGCATCTGAGGCCAAGAGTATTTTTCTGACCTCTTGTTATTTTTTCTTAAAAATTACTGGGCATCTCCTGCACTATTTTCCCATTTTCTATGCCATTGATATTGTCCTCCATAATGTCCAGTTTTTAGTTTTAGCTGGATATCTTCCTTATCCTCAGATTTAACTTTAAGCTCGCTCAGGTTACTGAGTTTCCTGCTCATTGTTTTCTTACCAGCCATTGTGAGGTGCAGACTGTTCTTTACCAGGAACCCATCCTTCTGGTGTTTCAAACAGTAGCCCAGAAAAACCTCCTGTTCTTCCATCCCATCTAGATGAATGGTTGTTGCACTTCCCATATCCTCCCGTCTTTTCCAAAGTTATAACTTTTGAGGAGAGGAAGAGCTGAAGCCTTCATCTCTGCCTCCAGATCATTCAGTTTTTTACAAAGGATGTCAGGGGATATTCAGTCCCTACTGAGACATGAGGAAGATTCCAGCAGTATCAGCAATAGCATCGAGGCATCATCCCAGCTCTCTCAGGAAGACACTTGAGGCGAGAGGAAAGGAGAAGCATAACAAGGATGACCAGATCAAGCTTTGGATGTCTTCCTCTGCTGATTTTGTAGCTTTTTTACCTATATATATATATATATATTTTTTTTTTTGCAGGAAAATATCATTCAGGCTCTAAAGGAGGACTATCTAAACAAGCAGACGTGTTCCTGTGCATTTAAAAACCTTCTTCCCATGTACCGCTCAGTGGTGAGTGTGTGGGGAGCCCTTGGATTCCCACGGAATACAGTGTTGCAGTCACATGTGGATTTGTGGGTCTTGTTGTTGTTTAGTCGATTAATTGTGTCCGACTCTTCTTGACCCCATTAGGGTTTTTCTTGGCAAAGATACTGGAATGGTTTGCCATTTCCTTCTCCAGCTGGTGTAGTTGGCAGGTTTTGAACTCAGGAAGATGAGTCTTCCTGACTCTAAGCCCGGATTTCTAACCACTGTGCTACCTAGTTGTTTATAGGTCTTAGCTTTGGGGATAACCAAAGTGTACTTTGAGACACAAACCTATCTTCAGAGCTGCCTGTTCCGTATCTGCAGTTAGAGTTTAAATTCCTCATTCCAAAAAACACTAATTAAGAAGCTATTGTGAGCAGAGAATTATGTTAGGCACTGGGGGAAAATACGAAGTTTAGAAAAGACACACTTCCTGACTTCAAGGAATGTACTGTTTAATGGAGAATAATACTCAAAGATAGGTAGATATAATATACACTATTCTGTGATAATTGTATTAGAGAGTTGGTTCTAAAACAAAATATCATGTGGGTAGGGTATCGGGGGAAGGAGGCTCATTACTAAGCAGGAGGATCAGGGGAGACTTCCTGAAGTAGGCAGTACTTGGGTTGGATGTTTATAGAAGTGTAGGAATTTGACAAAGTGAGGGAAGGGAGGCATTTCAGCTATAGGGCCCAAGCTGAGCAGAGGCATAGAGGCCCAGGAAAACAGCCTGTGTTTGGGGAGTGGGGAGTTATCCAGTTTGGGGTGAGCATAGCTCCATGGAAAGGAGTTTTTTGAGATAAGTCCTTGAATACCAGATAGAGGACTGTGGACTTCACTTGGAAGGCAGTAAGAAGCCACAGCTAAGACTGTTAAGCAGAAGACTGCTGTGATCAGAACTAGGGATAAGAAAGATTGTTCTGGTAGCAATATGGAGGCAAGATTAGAGGTGGGAGAGAGGAGTAGTAGGGAGACTTCTCAGGTGAATAGAGCAGTCATCTGGGCTGGTGGTGTCAGTGCCCAGTGTTAAAGAGGGGGCAGTGGGACTGGTCAAAAGGGGACAGAAATGAAGGATGTTTTGAAAGGGCAATCTGTAGGCGTTGGGAGAGGACAGGGTCAGATGACACTCAGGCCCCAGTGCCAGCATACAAGCACTTCTGTTTTGAGGGCCCTCCTTTATTCCCTCAACTACATGCTAAGTCTTGAGACATTTAACCTCCACTGATTTACACTTATTTTCTAAGCTGATATTGTAACTGCCTAGAACTCTCCCCTCACCTCCATTTTCAGCTTATTCTATATATGAAGTAGACAATATAAAGAGGCAAGCAAGATTCTTACACAGTGGCATCCAGTAGGATTTTCCTCAACAGTTTCATCATCAATCAAGGGTCATCTAAACATGGAGGGTGGTGGTAATACCAGAACTTGGATTTTGTATATTGGGGTAGAGGCATATTGGAGGATGTTAGTCATGGGAGTAAATGGAAGGGGAAAGTCCACTTACCTGATGATATCCTGGGAAGGAGGAACTAGGAGTTATTGACATTAAGGGGCAACTGCAGCGTGTGGAGCATGGAATTGCCCTCTGTGTAAGACGTTAATTCACAATGAGGGCAGACCTGTGTAATGGAGTGTTTTCTCTGACTGTAGGTGGAAGGCTTCCTTAACGTCCTGCATGAAGCTGACAAGGCTCTTGTGGATGATCTGAAGAAGGATTTCCCAAGTTTGAAGGCACAGAACTAAAACTAGAACAGAACAACCCTTACTTAAGGAAAAGACTTTCCTTCCCTGGCTAAAGAATATGACAGGTTCCAGCCTCCAGTAAACTTTGCCTTCCTAATGGAACTTATAAGGGACAGCTGAGGCAGATGGCTTGTGGAGGAGTGGTAGAGAACCCCCACGAGCTGTGACTGCCCTACTCCCCTCCTCTTTGTGTGTTGTGATCAGGAGTATAAACCTGCTATTGGCTGTGGTGGTTTGTCAGCTTCAGTGGAAGTAAATCATGCTAGTATTTAGGGTGTCAACAGGGAATGCTTGCCTGAACATGAATTTTGTGCCAGTATTTCATATGCAAGTAGGTGTTAGACCTTAAAATCCATTTAAAAAGGATTTATTTATGGTAATTATGACAATTATCACGGTCTTTAAATACCTGAAAAGAGGAGGTAAAACCCATTAGAGTTTGATGTTAGACTGGGTTTGTTAACAGGGCCAACATTTAACAGTATTGTGCAAGTAGAAATGCCGCCATGCCTGTGTGAGCACAGTTACATCTGGAAATCCCCCTTTACAACTTAATTCCGGTGGCAGTTCATAAAATAATTGGTTTCAAATCACTGAGTTGTTTTGAGCAACAGTGGATTCCTTTTATCTCCCCTGATTGAGGTACAGTGTAGCTGCTTGTCAGATTTTGGCCATGGTCCCAGTGTTATTTGTCCTCTGGACTGGAATGTCAGAATTCTTCTATCTTTGGCTTCTGTCATTTCCACAAATTTAAATGGAGAACCAACAGACATGTTTGGGTTTTGTTCATTATAGACTCCAAAGCCACACCCAGCAGACTTTGGTGGTGTTTTCCCTATTCATGCCATGACATTTTGGCCTACAAATGCTAATTTAGATCATATTTTCCCTTTTGTGGCAGAGCTTTCCCACCCAGAAAATTAAAAAATGTTCAAGTTAGCTATATGCAAGTATACAGTTAGTTTCTCTAGTGTTGAAATGAGATTTTATACATTCTTTTGCATGGTTTCTGGATCCCTCTACTTTTCACATGTGTATAGAAAATTACACATGCTAGCAACTGAAGCCATAACCTGTAGATTTTTTTGTATTTTTGTTCATGAAACATGTACATTGTTCATTTTGGTGCTGACTTTAGTTTAGGCAGAGCAATGGCTGAAATAACCCCACACAGTCAGAGAAAATAAGCCATGCCTCCCAAGCAAATACATGGACAGATTGTACATTTCAGGCTGGTGCTGGAAATTCTCCTGTTAGGCATTAATCTTTTTACCTGTAGCCCATTAAAATATTCCTTGGAAGGGTAATGCTTACCAGGCCTTACTGCAAATGAATTTCAGATCCTATCATGACAACAAGTTTTGGGGTGCAGAACTTTTAACATGAACACTGAGAACCTAGGGGGATGAGGACCCCCCCCCCCGATGGTTTGGTCCCAAAGGTGGATGGGAGCAGTAAACTACTTCATAGTTTCACTCTGTCTTCACTCAGTTTTCACACTTGTTTTGTACACCATGTTTTTCACTGTTCAAAGGTCAGGTTCTTACATTGCTCTGTATATGTTATATTTTGATATAGTTGAAAACTTTTCTGTAAAACTACCAATTAAAATAAAAATGAAATGAGTATTGTTTCGATTTTGCTTTTCTTAATTCCGAAAAAACCAAAAAGCCCCTAAAACATTTGCAAAAGAAAGGTGAGTGATGCTTGAGTTAATGAAGGAGTGATACACAATTGGAATGTGATCTTGCAGTTTCCATTCCTTGTGTAGTTTTCAGCTGGATTTGACCTCAGCTGTTTCTTGAAATGTGTGTGCCACTTATGTTTCTGATTCCTTTCAATCTTTGTTGTTTGGTGCATCTACCCCTCTGGGAAAGATACACACATACTCATGTATTTACTTTTCTCTTTTGGTTTCATTGAAACTTAAGCCTTGGAACATTGGAGGAGAGGCTCGTTGACACACTACTGTTGATGGTGCTATGGATTGGTCTGCCTACTCTGGAAATCAATTTGGAACCATATCCCTAGACTGTTCATACCCTTTGACCACTGGTACCACTACTAGCTCTATACTTCAAAGAGGTGAAAGATTGAGGGAAAGGGCCTATATGTTCAAAGATGTTTATAGCAGTACTTTAGGATGTAGCAAAGGAGTAAAACAAAACGGGAGCCCATCAATTGGGAAATGACCAAACAAATTGGGGTATATGAATGTAATGAAATATTATTGTGTTGTAAGGTAAAGAATTCAGAGAAACTTGGGGGAGTTTGTATCAAATGATGCAGAGTGAAATGAGCAGAGAACCAGTAGAATGATTTATATAATGATCACAATAACGTAAAGAAAAACAACTTGAGAAGACTTTAGAATTCTGACCAATGCTGTGGCCAATCCTGATTTCAGAAGACTAGTGATGAAGTAGGCCTCAGTACCAACTTTGATGGGCTAGATAGAGGTGTAGAATGGGGTCTATATTTTCAAGTGTGGCTAATGAGTTGGTTTGTTTTGCTTGACTAATTTGTTACCAGGGAGGGCTTCTAGAGGGTGGGAGGCTGAGTTAGTGGGAATGAAAGATTCAGGAAAAAAAGTGAAGAGAATCAAAACATCAAAGAAATACAAAACAACAAACATCAGTTTTAATTATCATGTTAAAATTAATATATGATTTTAAAAACAAACTAAAATGTTTATGATTTCTTATACAGTTTTGTTTTTTTTTTGCTCTCTGTACTTGGGAAAGTTTGTGTTTGTTGCTGATAAAGTTCCTAATAGACAACAGGCAGGCAAGCAACAAGTGTTTACTAAATGTTAGTTACTGTTAGGCATATGCATAAAAGCAAGAAGAAAGACCCTGCCCTCAAGAAGCTTACTTTCAAATGGGAAGACAACATATAAAAGGATCTGAAAAGGTCTATGTATTGGGGGTGGGTGGTGTGGCATGGAACAGGGGGTGGGCTGGAATAGAAGGTAGCTGAGCTTGGGCATGGTGGTGAAGTCCAGAGAGTCAGAAACATAGCCAGAAGAGAAATGAAGGAAGCATGCCCAAAATGGGGACCCTAGAAGAAACTTTACAAAGAGAGAAGGGGGCCAGCATGATGGAGGGATGTTCCAAGATAGGAAGGCCCAAAGAACTAAGGGATATTCTAGGGTGAGAAGGCAACAGAGTCATGGTGATAAAATCTTTAGAGTCAAAATTTTTAAAAGTTTTTGCAAATTATCACCTTATTTTCAAGTAGTTCAAGGAACTGAGATTTGGTCTCCTGTTGAAAGTCACTCCTCTGCAATAGTAAATGGCCTTCAAGACTTAACTATGACAAAAAAAAAATTCATCCTCCAGTAGCCAACCATGAACCTCTCCAAACTTGGTAAAGCTAGTCCTTGGAGGCTACCCTCCATTAGGCTCCTACTTTTTCCTTTGCTTCTTGGGAGGGCTTGTCAAAGCTTAAAGCACAGATAATATGGCCTCTGAGAACCCAGAGTCACTTCTAGGGCTATGGGGAAAGGGGCATCAGAGGAGGGCTTCAGTAGAAATGTTCTATCTGAATGAAAATGCTTGTGGTGTGAGAAGACTTAGATGAGTTAGTGAAAAGTGAAGCAAGTAGAACCAGGAAAATATACAGAAGGGGACCATGTAAATGGAAAGAACAATAAGCCAATTGAAATTAAGTGCTGCAAAAATATGGTGCTGAGACTTGTCCTAAAAGAAGGGATATGAGGGCATGCATACCTCCCTTAGCTGCTTTGTGGCGGTGGGGGATTATGGGTGTGTTAGACTTTTTTGACATAAATTGTTTGTTCCAAGGGATTGCTTTCTTGGAGACAGAAGGGAAAGGGACACACTGGAAAAGTAGGGAATGTAAAAACCAAAGATAGCAATAAAAACTTACTTTAAAAACTGTTTATACTAAAACCTTCAGTTTAGAAGCAGATCTCTAGTTACTTTCTTTCATTTAATCTTATTAAATTCATGCAGTTATTCACTGAAGTAAAGTTAAGAATCACCATGTGCTTGCCTTGCCTCTAACAATCGAGGATATCATATAATCTAATCCAAGAAGTATTGACTAAAGGCCTACAACATGGGAGGTCCAGAACAACCAGTCGGGTCTATTATCTGTACTACTTATGCTCACACTGATCCTTGTATGCTGGGGAGTACTGGAATGCATCATAGGAGATGGCAATGACACACCAAAGATTTTATGAACTTGGTACTGAGGCAGGCTGTGGGTGACTTTAGGCATGTCTTGCATTTGACAATAATTGCACACATTGGAATATGTGCCCCTTAATTACCTTTGGGCCTTTTCCCTTCTTTCATTAACATGCTAAAGTCATGCCTTCAAATTCAGGGCACCTGAGGAAAGGCTTTGTCAAGAACTAGATTGCCAAAGTGTGAAAGGGCAAAAATTCTGTGGGGTAACAGGAAAAGTGGGCCAAAAACACTCTTTAAAAAAAATCTGCGCTTAGCTACAACAGATACATGAAGTTTATGTTATTGAAAATTAAAAATTGGGGGCCATTCAGGTCTGAGAATCCATCAATTCTAATCAATGGAGTAAAAAGACCATTGGAGTAGATCCATTTAAACCTACAGTAGCTCTGACCACTCACACCAAAAATAGAATTTCTGCCTTCAACTTTCAATCTATCTGAGATGGATTTAAAGAGAACAGGCCTCAAAGTTGGGGAGGTAGCTAGTACAATTTGGAGTTATAACCTTATATTTAGAGCCAGAAGGGAGCCCAACCCCCTTGTTTTACAGATGAGGCAAGTGAGGCTCAGAGAGCTTCAGTCATGTGCCCAAGGTCACCCAGGTAGTAAGCAGCAATGGTAGCATTTGAAGCTAGGCCTTCTTGCCTTGAAGTACAGCATTCTACCCGTCATACCACACAATCTCTCAAATCCCAGTGCTGCCTGCGTGACATTTAGCAAGTCATGACCTCTGTTTTCCCAATTGCAAAATGTGGGAGGGTTTGACCTCAAAAATCTCTTTCATCTTTAAATCTATGCTTCTAAGACCTAGTATCGGCCATGTGTCTAGGGCATATATATCCCTTTTTCTCTCAGTGCCCCAAGGAAACTCTTGGGCTAAGTTAAACACGAGATGCCCATTTGTAACTGTGGAAGGAGTTTCCACACTGGAATTACGCTCACACTGACAAAATCATAGATCCAGGCTTCTCTCCACGTTCTCCCCTCCTCCCCACCCCACAGATGTACAACGCAGTGTGCTAGGTACTATGAGCACAAAGAGAGAACCAAAAACAGTCCTTCCCTTGATGATTGTTCAAGGTTCCAGCATGGATAGGATGAACTTGAATTCTTTATTATTATGCAATTTGAATGAGAAAATCAGAAATTTTGCCTTACTATATTAACATAGCTTTCAGATTGATTTAAAATCACAAACGTAGCTTTTGAAATCTTAGGAGTCAGCCACTGCAAGGCAAAGTTTAAATGGACCTCAGTGATATTTTTTTTTTACCCCCATTGATTAGAATTGGGTCCTCAGGATTGAATGGCCCCCAACTTTTAATTATTTTTGATAAAATAAGCATCATGAATCTTTTGTAACTGAGGGAAGATTTTTTTAAAAAGGGTTTTGGTTCATCTCTCGTGCTACCCCATAGGATTTTTGCCCTTTCACACTTTGGCTGTTTAATTGTTGACAAAATCTTTCCTAAGGTGCCCTGATTTTGAGATCTGTTCCAAATGCTTGACTTTCTTGAAACAAGGGAAAAGGCCCAACATGTGTAATTATTGTCAATTGCAACTCATGCCAGAAGTTACCCAGAGATCACTTCCTTGTCAAGTTCAGAAAATCTTTGTTGTTCCTCAAGACATTTCTCAGTTTTTCCCAGCATGCAAGAATGAATGTGAGGGTTAGTAGACTGAGATATTAAGATGCTAGTGCTGTAGGTGGTATCACTTATTTTAACTAATATTCTTTAACCCGTCAATAGATGGCATGAGAAAATGGAGAATTGGATTGGGGATCAGAAGAGCAGGGTTTAAATCCCTGCTCCACCACTAAATAGTAGTGAGACCATAAGCAAGAAATTTTCCTACTTTAGGCCACAGTTTTGCTAACTGTAAAATGAAGGGGTTGGATTGGACAGTCTCCCTAAAATTCCTTTCAACTCCAAAATATCCTGGACATAGTGTAAGCTTAGCCTCATTTCTTTAAAAGCCAAGGCCATGCTAATTGGCATGGTTAAACTTGAATGTGTAGACTATCTCAGTGCCATCTTTGTCTTGTAAAATTTCTTCCCGGTCCCTATCCCTAGCTGGTACTTTCAGGAAATGTTATTGAAAGGAACTGTAGAGGTAATACAGAAAGACTCATATCACTTGAATTCATCTATTTTCATTGTTCTTGATGGTAACAGATCAAGTTCAGGAACCACCATTGATAGCACTGTATTTCATTACAAACACAGATTTCTGTTTTTCCTTGTATAAGGCAACAAGCATTCATTAAGTACCTACTATGTGCCAGGCACTGTTCTAAGTACTTTACAAATGTTATCTCATTAAATAGATCCAAACCACTGTATTTGCAGAGTATACAGACAATATTGAAAGCAAGACAAATATTTGCTACACGAGATTATTCATG